CCATCATCGATTTTACCTTTGGAGCTAATACAGCCTCCGTCGAGGATGGCATTTATCTCATGCATGCTCGCGCCGATTTAAATTACACTGTCCGCCACCCGGTACATCAGAGGCAGTTGCTGAGTGAGTAAGGTAGAGAGCCACGAGCAGTACCTGCCGTGCTGTTCGGAAGCCTTGGTGATGTCTTCGTTGTTCGATATTCGGAAGTCGTTGGGTTTGAGTCGGAGTGTCAAAATCAGGTCACTCGCGCCACAAATATGCCTCTGGGTGACCTTGGTAAACAAGGTGACATGCACTCACCTGCTTGACCTCCTGTTAACTAGGGTGCGGCGTTCAAGTTTCAGAATGAACGGTGAACGGTGGACCCTAGTTACAACCAACAATATTATTTGCCTCCACCTTGCTCCTCGTCACCACAGTTATTGCCAACGGGGGAATCTTGGGTACGAGTTGCCCCACGGGCACATAGGAATCGCTACTGGGGCCACCTCCAGTAGCCGCAGGGATCGTCATGACGCTGATGAACTTGAACGAGCAATCGCAAGAAGACGTTGGGGTGCACGAAAGCCATCTTTATGCAAAGGCATGTGCTTCTTCTTACATTTAAACACGTGTCTCATCTCGCCCAGCATGTCGCGTCTAACTCATTCACCCGGTATCGTCCTTGCCCCAGTTTGTGGCATCTCCAGATATGATATGTCGAGCCACCATGCTTCTCCGTCGTGTTGAACTGCACGTCTGGCAAACTTTGATATTGAGGTACGTGTATTGTAGTCGCTTGTGTGCTACTCTACGCCTTACTCGCATCACTCACATATATTCTAGCTCCTCACGACGTTTATCATTTATCTCATGAAATCAATAGACATACGAACTGAATCTGCCGTCAAACTTCTCTCTCCGAGTTCCTAGACCTACTAGATACTCCTTATATCGAAGGGCAGACACCCGAACGCCGAACATTTTGCACATGGTCAGAAGTTTCTTCTCATCTATATGTAACTCTGTTCTGTATTTCTCATGGACTTGGTCTTAGAAATATACTGTTATATTCGGGGTGGCCGTGATCTATCGATTTATGACAATTTGGTGGAGGTGTGACACTTTCTCTGAACGAACTCGGGGATCCGCACTGAATTTGGACAGTATGACACCTTCCCAGATCCTCCGCCCCACGAGCAGGAAAGAGAGAATCTGTGGTGTTATGATTCCCGTTCTCAATCTTGGTCGCCTCATCACCGTCATCACCGGTTCTGATCTCGATCCCCGTTATCTCGACCTCCTTCCCCAACCCTGCGTTCTGAGCACAGAAGAACTCCTCCCGCAACTTACCTCCAAGAAAGCTCTCTAGACCATCTCTCCCAAGATCGCGGGAACCATCGACGAACTCACAGTGCAGTCGGCAAGTGACGAGATCTCAGATATGCCTGATATCTTGAATGGCCGACATAGTCACCTTGACAACACTCAGGAGCAGCTGACGAAGCTTACAAAAGCAAAAGCAAAAGAACCAGAAGGTCATAATACACCTCTTCGGGGCAAGAGTGAACATTCCTCGAGTAGCACACCACCACGCATTTCAGGAGAATTTGTGCCGAACGCTGTTATCGAATCCAAAGAAACAGTGGGATCATATACCCCCAGAAATCGGAAGTTCAATACGCCTGTCTTAGACCCTTCCTTGTTCCATAACCAACATCGACGAGACGGTCACGGTGCCTATCCCAGGTACTTGAAGTTATGCACAAGCTGTCACTGGTACCACATTCGCGTTATTTTGTTATCCACGTCCTTCACGCACACGCTCCAAGATAGGCACGATTTAGCAATGGATGCTTTCGTCTACATGCCTAATATCTATGAACTTGCCACGATCGATTTGAATGGGTAGCAGAGGTTATCTATCGCAACGTTCAAACTGGCTTAACCGTGATCAATTCTCGGGACGTGCACTAAGAGGGGTGGGCACATCGGTGCCGATGTCACCCTGCTTTGCACCCAGTACTTCTATTAACTCCTGACTAGATATACGAGCTGCTTCTATTGCGGTGGGTTTGCCTATTCTCGGATCTGCGCCAGCTTCGACCAGAACACGCACAGCCTCATCGTGCGACTTGAACACAGCGCCCACAGTCATAGATTGACCAAGATCGTTGAGCCTGTTTGGATCTGCTTTCCGTTACAGTTCCACGTGGCCTGCGTATGCTGCGAGCATCAATAATGTGTTTCCTACATGAATGTGTCATACGTCATTCAGGGGGAATGTCACCGATGACTCGGACACACCTTTCTCATTTGTAAGGTTGACTGGCAAGCCCGCGTCAACTGCTTGAAGGAGCTCTGTATTTCCCCCCCGCACAGCGTCAAACATTTGGTGTGCAAATTCGACGGTCTCAGCTGGCAAAGTGTTGGTATTGGACTGTGTGGGAGCTGCGACATGATCGGGCACTTGCGGGGATGATTCAGTTGCCTAGCAGCTCGCCTCAAATTTTACAGATCTGATAGTAGGAAGAAGGCAAATGTGACTGACCATCGACAAATTCCGTTCAACCAGTGCGTTCAGTGCTCTGAAGAGATGCTCGAGTCAAGCATGGTAGTATTACTTATAATAAGCTGCAGCGCCTAACACGGTGATCAGTTCAGTAGTGACTGACGACGACGCTGCTACCGTATAGGCTGGTGATCACCGCGAGTAGCCTGAATTTAAAAAACAGCAGGCTCACTGCAGACAAGATTCGTTCAGATATCTTCAAAGAAGCAGAGCACACACCTATCAACGGACACGATAAGCACCAGACTATTTACCCATGCTCACGGCGCCCGGAGTTTCTACTGGATCTGAAGCTCATTTGCATGTGCCCAATGCAATGTAATATCTCTATCGAAACGGGAATGGTTGGAAATGCAAGAGTACGCATGATAGCCCTCCATCATCATTTCGTCGAGGTGCGGCTACTCAATAAGCCACTGCATTCCACGGATTACTTTTACATTCAATCCTTATCGCTCGAGCTGGACAGTGAATTACAGGAAATTTCCCTTGAGATTCAATTACACAACTACGTTCAATGGATGCCAAGGACTGACTAGATCTGTCAAAAAAACAGTTCTGGATCTCAGAGCTGATCTTTTTGCGCACGTTCAACTGTATACTGCGTTGTCACGCGTGAAAATTTGACGAGATACACACTGTTTATTCGTGTCAACGAACAAAGAAAAAGATAGTGCCAATATCGCGTACAATGGAGCAACGAGTGAGTGAGAAAAAAGTCGCTGCGCTCGCAGGGTCACTGCAGGTTCAAATGATAAAGCGATGAGTGAGAGAGAGGGATGAGAGAGCGGCAATTCGAGCGAGCGTTCTGTGATTACAAAGAGAATTGTCGATGCCTGCCGGCAAGTCATAATACAATGACCATAATCAATTGAATATGCTCCTGCTGGTTCTGCCAAAAATTCTGCTATCTGACAGCAATAATAATTCTGCCAAATTGATCAGAATCGTGCCCATGAGTATATGCAGGATATAAAAGCTGGCCACCATCCTACAGTATTTCTCCATCCTCAGAGATACCATTCGAGTTCCATATCACTTGCCACAAACAATGCGTTTCTCCTACCTCACCGTTGTTGTTGCATTGACAGCATCCATGTTTGTCAGTGCATGTTTTAACCAGACACAAGCCTGCATAACAGATGAAGATTGCTGCAATATCTTGGTTTGTGATGATGATGACGTGAGTCGCCGTGCAACCAGGATTCAACCACATAACTCACCTGCGCGCCTTAGAATGGAGGCTTGATCTGCCAGTCGGATTGAAGATTAAACCAGCAGCCTAAACGGCATATAGAGACGGTGAGTCGTATTTCTACTTTCATTTTGGTATCATGGTTGATGGTGCAATGCCTAGCTCGAAGCCAATCAGTACAGTTGTTTTGGGGGGAAAATTCGTACTGCTCGAGCAATATAGATGTTTGAATTTATCTGAAATGATCAATCGTGCCTATTCTTGCTTGTGGTCCACTAAAGCTTGAATTTAAGAGGCTGTGGAAATGAACGACCATTGCTGTTGATGATTGATATGGGGAGGCCACATGAAGATGCAATGCACTGCGCAACTTGAATCTCTTCGTCTATCGTTGGCCTCGAAGGCTAGTATTTGAATAAAGAGCCATCCTTGAGGTGGTCTTTATAAGCATCTGTTGAAAGATTTTTCAACTGTACGCTAGATAATCGACGCGGCCTTACTTCAGTTAAATTTCACAAAACGACGGACTTACCTATAGATCGTGTGAACTTGTTGTGAACTGCGGCACACCTGAGAAAATAAGTTTTGTCGATGCACTGTGGTAGGAGCCAGCCGCTGTTCACCACTACTTACTACATAATCATAGTCGAGTTGGCAGAGACTTGAAAGCTTGATCGAAGAGGATCGATCAACGATGTTACATAATTGGCTGACTACGCCTACTCCCAGAATGGACGTCATGTAATTATAACACCGTCTTCAAAACGTCAAGTTGAACTTGGATCTTGGATCTTTGTGTATTTCTAGCCTTGAATTGTCAGGCATGATTCGGTCTGCGCCAATTATTCTGATGCCGAACTCGGGTTGACCTGATAACTAGCAGGAAAATTTGCTTGGTGATCGATGCTATGAGCAAGACCATGACGGAAAGAACCGGCCTGGGCTATCATGTAAGTAAGAACTTGCTATTACGAACAGGGCACCTTATGGTGATCCATGTTGCACTGATGCCTCGGCATTTTTGATATTCTCCCACTAGACTTGAAAACGCGTCCACCATGAGGGAGCACCGTGACCATCAATACTTAACTCGCCGCCAAATTCATCCTTCACCACCTTTGTGAGAACATGAGTACTGGCTCAGGCGACCCCTCTGCAACACCAAACTTTGTCCGTGTGGTACATGTGACGAATCCAGAGCAGGACACTTTGTTCCATGCTACGGCAGTTCGAGCGAATTCCTCAAGGCGAACCAGAAGTATCTCGGCCTAAAATGCACGCAGTGCCAAACGATACTGGACAAACCTTTGAGATGCTCAAAGGTGATTCATTATTCATACTGTTGCAAACGTTCATTGAATCTCACAAACCACCTTTAGTGCAAGAGTGCCTGTTATTGCTCGAAAGAGGTGATACTTGTGGATCAAAGAATCATACGAAGGGCTGACGTCGCATGACTTCTTGTGTAGTGCCAAAATAAAAATTGGTGAGAGCGCTGCCCGATTAACAAGACCCATGAGACCTCACTCCACATTGGACTCGGTGATAGATCCATGCACAAACCAACATGCCGTGAAGATGAACGCTCCTCTGGGCTATTCGAACTTGTACGAATGATCATCATAAACCCAGTGCTCTTGGGGTACCTCAAACTCGGTGTCATCTTTGCCTGTGGCCTGCTCGACGATCCCCAAATCGGATTCGATACGCCGTTTTCGGCATGTGTTGAATTTGCTATTGAGCCAAGTGACATGTTTGACTTTGCTGGATTGTATTTCAACGACGGAACTGCTGGCGGGAAGCTTCAAGGAATGGTACAACTCAATGCAATTACTGCGTGGAATATGCAAATTCCATTTCCGCCAAAGCGAATCAGCATGTGGCATGAAGCTTGAGCAAGGTGTAACACAACGGGTTTCACCAAAGATCCCGTTGGACTCATAGAGTTTGTCGGATGTGGTCCTGCACACGGCAGAGTGAACTCAATGACCGTTGAGTTGCACATCCCCGCTAAAACGCTTGCCATCGCAAGGAGACGTGAACCCTTCGAATACCTCTCTGCTATTACGGGCATTATAATCAAGCAACCCATGAGCGCTGTATCATGTCTAGAGTAGGCTCTCTGTTCTGTTTCTCTAAGTAATGCATCCGCTTACGATCACTTCAAATAGGAGTGCCAACTTGCATATTCGAGCTGATAAGCAGAATCAGTTGCGTTTGCGGGCTGAGATGACAGAACAAGACAAGGAAACTATTCGCGCTGCAGGCCGCGATGAAGACGCACTTCCCTCTCGTATTCTCAAAGAGAAGATGCGAAGAGAATGCATTTATGTTGATTTGCTGTAAATGTGAGTGTACACTTTCGGCGATTTCTCTTTCTGAATTTTGTACCAAGTGAAGGGAAATACTGATACGAGTCATCTCCTCCGCCTGCGACTAGTGACTTTTTAAGTTACCCTTCGACTATGCTTCATAACATCGATGGGGCCTTACTTACTACTCAGGTTGAATTTTGTATCTTGTAACTCTCTGATCGAGGACTTGTGTATGATGTTCTTCTTTATCACATGATTCGATGCGGCCTTACTCAGGTTAGAGTTCATAAGAAGACGGGAGTCGTCTGTTAGTGTGAACTCGCCGTGAACTGCGGCACACCTGAGAAAATAGGTATGCTTATAATCAGTCCTTGGTGAGCCTTAGCGCTCGACTCGTCACCAAATCCATCTCCCACCGCCTTTCTGAGAACATGAGCACTGACTCTGGCGCCTCCGCTACAGTTCCAAAGGGTGTCCATATGATTCATGCGATATATCCAATGATCAGCCTTATCGTTCTCTCGCATAGCAACCATCCAGATTCAAAAAGCTCCAATCGCTTTGGGGCAAATTGTAGTGTCCAGCCTCTGGTGAACAACTGAGTCATCACGGTCTGTGCGGCAAGATATGCAATGCAGATCGACAAGTTGCGGTACCACTTGAACCTGGATCACAATAAGTCGTCAAACTCAGAGCTACTATTTTTGTCGATGCACTGTGGTAGGAGCCAGCCGCTGTTAACGTGCATAATAGTTTGGCAGGAGATCGATAAACGTTTTTAATTGGCTGACTACGCTCCAGAATGGACATTATGTAATCATGTAACACCGTCTTCAAAACGTCGCGTCAAGTTGAACTTGGATCTTTGTGCATTTCTAGGGTATTGTCAGGCATGATTCGGTCTGCGGCTGATTGCTAGTTATCAACACCACCCTAGTTCAAGCTGAAATCGGGTTGACTTGATAACTAGCAGGAAACTTTGCTTGGTGATCGATACTACGAGCAAGACCATAACGGAAAGACGCCTAGAACCAATATGGGCGGCCTGGGCTATTATCATGCATATGTAAGTAAGAACTTGCTATTACGAACAGGGCAGTGTGCCCTTATGGCGGTCCATGATGTGGCACCGATGTCGGAATTTCTGATATTCTCCCACCAGACCTGAAACACGCGTCCGCCATGAGGATGCACCGTGACCAACAATGCTTAACTCACCGCCGAATTCATCTTTCACCACAACATGAGTACTGGCTCAAGCGACCCCTCTGCAACACCAAACGTTGTCCGTGTGGTACATGCGATACACCCAGACCGGGACAGTTCTTTTCATGATGAAGCAGTTTCGAGCAAATTCCTCAAAGCGAACCAGAAGTATGTCAGCTTACAATGTACGCAGTGCCAAACGATATTGGACAAACCTTTGAAATGCGCAAAGGTGATACATTATTCATACTGTTGCAGACGTTCATTGAATCTCACAAACCACCTTTAGTGTAAGAGTGTCTGGTATTGCTCGAAAGAGGTAAGACTTGGGGATGAGAGGAAAATATGAAGGGCTGACATCGCATGACTTCTTGTGTAGTGCCAAAAGAAAAATTGGTGAGAGCGCTGCCCGATTAACACAGACCCATGGGACCTCACTCCACATGGACTCGGTGATAGGTCCATGCACAAACCAACATGCCATGAAGATGAACGCTCCTCTGGGCTATTCAAACTTGTACAAATGATCATCATAAACCCAGTGATTTTGGGGTACCTCAAACTCGGTGTCACCTTTGTCTGTGGCCTGCTCGACGATCCCCGAATCGGATTCGATACGCCGTTTATGGCACGTGTTGAAATTGCTATTGAGCCAAGTGACATTCTTGACTTTGCTGGATTGTATTTCAACGACAGAACTACTGGCGAGAAGCTTCAAGGAATGGTACAACTCAATGCAATTACTGCGTGGAACCACAGTATGCAAACTCCACTTACGCCAAAGCGACTCAGCATGTGGCATGAAGCTCGAGCAAGGCTTAACGCAGAGGGTTTCGCCAAAGATCCTGTTGGACTCATAGAGTTTTTCGGACGTAGTCCTACATACGACATAGGGAACTCAATGACCGCTGAGTTCCACATCCCCGCTATGATGCTTGCCGTCGCAAGGGGAGGTAAACCCTTCGAATACGTCTCTGCTATTACGGGCGCTCTAATCAAGCAACCCCTGAGCGCTGTAGCAAGTCTAGAGTAGGTTCTCTGTTCTGTTTCTCTAAGCAATGGATCCGCTTACAATCACTTTAAATAGGCGTGTCAACTTGCATATTCGGGCTGATAGGCAGAATCAGTTGGGTTTGCGGACTGAGATGACAGAACAAGACAAGGAAGCTATTCGTGCTGCAGGCCGCAATGAGGACGCACATCCCTCTCGTATTCTCAAAGAGAAGATGCGAAGAGAACGCCTTTATGCTGAATTTGTGTAAATGTGAGTGTACATTGGCAATTTCTCTTTCTGAATTTTGTACCAAATGATGGGAAATACTGATACAAGTCATCAGTAGGCATTCTCTCCTCCGCCTGCGACTAGTGATCTTTCAAGTTACCCTTGGACTATGCTTCACAACGGGGTGCGAGCCTGGAGCTTACCACGTGATAAAGGCGTTCTGCTCACGCGCCTCGAATTGGACGCCACGCCTTGTTTACGTATTATTTGGTCTCCTGACAACGCTAGCGCTCATCGATCATCCCTGCGTCATCCATGTTGTTGCTTCTTCCTTCTAACCGTATTGTCAATCATACGCTCTTCCACGCTACCGACTGTTTGTTAGTGTTGCCGTTGAAGTGACAGCCTTTCACGGGGCCTTACTACTCAGGTTGAATTTTGTATCTTGTAACTCTCTGATCGAGGTCTTGTGTATGATGATGTTCTTCTTTATCACATAATTCGACGCGGCTTTACTCAGGTTAGAGTTCATAAGAAGACGGGAGTCGCCTGTGGATCATGTGAACTGAGGCACAGCCGACTGCTGAGAAAATAGGTACGCTCATAATCAATCCTTCGTGAGCTTTAGCGCTCAACTCGCCACCGCATCCACCTCCCACCGTCTTTCCGAGAACATGGAGACTGACTCTGGCACCTCCCCTGCAGCTTCAAAGGGTGTCCGCGTGGAACATACGATATATCCAGAGCGGGACAATCTTTTTCATTCTATGGCAGTTTCGAGCGAAGTCCTCAAAGAGAATAAGAAGTATTTCGGCGCACAATGTACGCAATGTGGGACAGAAATGAAGAAACTTTTGAAATGCGCAAAGGTGATGATCGATTATCTGGTTTATGCCACTGTTGCAGGCGTTCATCGAATGCCTTTAGTGTAAGAGCGTCTGGTATTGCTCGAAGGAGGTATGACTTGCAACTGGGACATAGAAATATGAAGAACTGACGTCGCGTGTCTTCTTGTGTAGTGTCAAAAGAAAAATTGGTGAAAATGCAGCCTATGATTGACACAGACTGGGATCTCACTCCACATTGAACTCGATGATAGGTCCACCCATAAGCCGACATGCCATGCAGATGAGCGCTCCTCTGGGCTCTACAAACTCGTCCGAATGTTCAGTGTAAATTCAGTGCTCATGGGGTATCTCAAGTGCGGGATCGTCTTCGAGTGCGGCCTACTTGACAATCCTCGGATCGGATTTGACACGCCGTTCTTGGCGCGCGTTGAAATCGCCATCGAGCCAAGTGATGTTGTTAAATTTGTTGGATTGTATGTGAACGACCCGAGTGTAGAGGAAAAGGTTGAAGGGATGTTACAAGCCAATGCTATCACTCCGTGGCCGAGCCCAAGCATGCAAGCTCCGCTTACACCAAAGCGACTCAACACATGGCGTGAAGCTCGAGCATGGTATAATGCAGAGGGTTTCGCCGAAGATCCTGTTGGACTCGCAGAGTTCATCGGTCATAGGTGTACTGCCGACTCAGCGAACTCAATGACCGTCGAGTTGCACATCCCGAAGACGACTCTTTTCGTCGCGATGACACGCGCCCCCTTCACGTCTGTCTCTGCTATTACGGGCATTCAGACCAAGAAACCCTTAAGTGCTGCGTCGTACCTAGAGTCTCTTATATTGCACTTCAGTACCTTATGATTACCGTGCACAGGTTCATCAACTCGCATATTCGGGCGGATAAACAAAATCAGTTGTTTTTACAGACTGAGATGACAGAGGAAGACAAGGAAGTTATCCGTGCTGCAGGTCGCAACGAGGACACGTTTTCCGTTCGTATTCTCAAAGAGAAGATGGAGAGAGAACAAATTTATGCTGGTTTCTGCAATCGATAAGATCAGCAGTTACCTAGGGCCTGTGAGTGTCCACATTTACGACGATTTCCCGAAAGTCTTTCTGAATTTGCACGAATAGAAGAAAAATACTAATACGAGTCATTACGCAAGTTAGCCTTGTACCATTAAATGCTTAGTACCGGTGCCTTACTGAGGTTGGATAAGCTTAAGCTTGAAATTGGCCGCGTAATTAATTCATATAATTGTCAGCGCAATCGTGGTCCTGGGGTATTAATTACGATGAGTGGATGAGTAGTAAGAATACCGTCTTTGGACTAGGTCAAAGAGACCTGCTATTGCGTAGTTGCAGAAGGACCACCACTAATGTGGAGCAGCTGCATGAGGATTGTTGTGTTGATCTAGCCTGTCGATCTTGGTGCTCTAAACCTTCTTAGCGAGCTCGACTGTGCTGGACTTTGTGCTGCGGCTGCGTGACAGGCAGAAAGGTACGAGATTTATTTTTATCCTTCCGAGTGGGAGGTTAGCGCAATATTGCTCAATACAAATTGAGCGATACCTGCGATTGGAGGCTAGTTTGCAAAACTTTGATACGACTACAAAGTTTCACATGACTAATCACATCTGTCGCGCCTAGCCACGATAACGGGGATTGCAATTGATCGTAGCCTGCAGGATGGACAATGGTGAGTCACTTGGAGAGTACTACCCACAGCTTCACGGAGGCGACATATCTCCGAACCTCGTG